CAAGATCGTGTCACTAGAGGTATCCCTAAGCCTACTTATGATCCTGACCTCACCAGTAAGACAAGATACCCTATGAGTAATTATATTTGTAACCAGAATTTGTCTAACTCAAATATCGCATTTATAAGTCAATTATCTATTGTATCTATTCCTAACAGTGTGCAGGAAGCTTTAGCTGACTCCAGATGGAAGGACGCTATGAATGAGGAGATGAGATCCTTGCAAAGAAATAAAATATGGGAATTGGTAAATTGTCCAGTTGGAAAGAAACTAGTAGGATGTCGATGGGTGTATACTGTGAAATTTAATGCAGATGGCACAATTGAGAGATTCAAAGCTAGATTAGTGGCAAACACCACACACAAGCATATGGAATAGATTACACTAAAACGTTTGCTCCCGTAGCCAAAATTGGTACAGTTCAAGTATTGTTATCTCTAGTTGTAAACCTTGATTGGTCCTTACAACAATTTGACGTAAAAAATGTCTTCTTACACGGGGAATTGTCTGAAGAAGTTTATATGGAGCTACCAGAAGGATGTGGGATCCTGAATACACATAGCAAGAAAGTATGCAAGTTGAAGAAGTCATTGTATGGACTAAAACAATCGCCACGAGCATGGTTTGGTAGATTCACCAAGTCAATGCTTGCTTTTGGATATCAACAGAGCAACCAAGATCATACCTTGTTTCTAAAGAAAAAGAAAGGAAAACTTACAATTCTTATTGTCTATGTTGATGACATGATAATTACAGGAAATGATCTAGAGGAACGCAAGGCATTGAAAGAGTACTTGGCAAAGGAATTCGAGATGAAGGATCTTGGTCCTTTGAAGTATTTTCTTGGAATTGAGGTCTCAAGATCAAAGTCAAGTATTTTTCTCTCAAAACGAAAGTATGCATTGAATTTACTGAAAGAAATTGGAATGACAGCATGCAAACCAGCAAATTCTCCAATTGAAGGGGGATTGAAGTTGTACATTGAAGAAGATCAAACTCCAACTAACAAGGGAAGATATCAGAGACTTGTAGGGAGATTGATGTATCTCTCACACACCAGGCCAGATTTAGCTTATGCTCTTAGTATGGTTAGCCAGTTCATGCACAATCCAGGTGAAAAACACATGGATGTTGTTATACGAATTTTAAGGTACGTAAAAGCTGCTCTTGGAAAAGGAGTTATGTTCAAGAAGAACTTTGACTACAAGGATGTGATGCAGATTGGACAGGTGCTCTTGATGATAGAAGATCAACTTCTAGATACTTTACATTTGTAGGAGGTAATCTTGTCACATGGAAAAGCAAGAAGTAGAAAGTTGTAGCTAAATCTAGTGCAGAAGTTGAACTAAGAGGAATGGTTCTTGGACTTTGTGAAAGTTTGTGGCTCAGACTACTTCTCCAAGATTTAGGGTATGCACATACATGTCTCATTCAATTGTATTATGATAATAAAGTTGCGCGTGACATTGCTCACAACTCTATCCAACATGATCGGATGAAACATGTGGAGGTTGATAGATTTTTCATCAAGGAAAAACTTGATAAAAATATTCTGGAATTGCCAAATATTTGATCTGAAGATCAGCTGGCAGACATTCTTACCAAAATTATGACAAGTCAAATTTTTAGGAGATTGTTGGACAAGTTGGGAATGTATGACATTCATTTACCAACTTGAGAGGGAGTGTTGAGATAAAAATATTTTATTAGCTAAATTATAGGTTTGTATAGGTACAAAATATTGTATAATCAGAAATTTCTTTTTTTAGTCTTGATTTGTTGGAGTAAAATACTATCGGATCATAGTATATGTGTACAAAAAATAATATAAATAAAATTATAGAATGAATTTTATGTTTTTCAATTCAACCACCTCACCCTTAATACTTAGGAAATGCCATGAAATAAGGAAAAAATCTACAGTACTTAAAGGAAGAGTTGGTAGTGGATCTGCAACATTATCCGTAAATATCTAGAACACGAGAGAGTGGGTTCTTTTTTTTTTTACAAACGATGTTGATTCAATGTTTGTTTTAATCTTTAATATTGATCATCGATCCTACTTTGTTCAAATAATGAGTAGACACTAAAGTGGACACAGATGCAAAATAGTAAAATCGTATTATCCCATGATTCTTCTTGTGATTTTATGTACAATAATTATTATTTTTTAAGTATAAAAATAAAATTTATCTTTACTTCTTTTCCTATTTGTCTTTTATTATCACTGCATAATATTGTAAAACTATTATTAGAAATACACAACGAAAGTAAAAAAGCAAGTATATAAACCAAACATTAATATAATATGATTGGACTCATTCGAAAAATCTTTATCTTGAAAAAAAACAAGTTCATGTGTCGCACAACTTTATTTTTGCATATATTTTTCAATACTTACAATTTTTTTTTAGAATGTATTAAATACTTCCAATAAATTCCTAAACATCTATTTACCAAAAACTTTAGAATTTTATTATTTTAAAAAAGGAATATTTAAAAAAAAATACAAAAATGAGAAGTAAAGAAAGAGAATGTTTCTTAATTCAAGAATCTAACTAATCCAGCTATAAGAAATCCACAAAAACTAGCATTTTTTTATTACTAAGGTGTGGGAAATAATATAGGTTCTTTTTTCTTGCACCTTTATTTATTTTTAAAAGACAATAATACCCGTGTTAGTTTTATGAAACTAATTATGCACAACAAGTATTTCGGATTTGACAAACCTAGAAAATGTTATGATGAATGGATATGTAAATTTAATTTTTTTTTTATATTTCAGACTACAATTGGAACATGATTTTATAATTCCAGAAAAATGAATTTGAAAAGCTTCAAAAATATGAATCCATAAATAATTTGTCATTTGTATGATTTAAGTTTTATATTACAAAATCTAAAATATAAGTTAATTATTCCAAAAAGTCAATTCAGAATATTTTCAAAATATTAGTTTAAAACGCTTTTGAAAATATCAATCCAAACTATTTTTGAAATACTAATTTTGGAACATTTCCAGAAAAGTATTTTCAAAATGTTTCTTTCCAAAAAAACTTATTATGGAAAGTTTTCAAAATCCTAAATCTTTTTGTCATAGATATAATATTATCTTTTTCAACAAATATAGCGGAAATAATGGAAATACCAAGGTGCTGGAAATCACAACCAACAATATAATCAAGAGAAGCTTTGTATAACTATTATTTTTTATAGTGACTATTGTATATGATAAAAAAATTATTTTGGATGTCAATAAAAAAATATTTCTGATATAATCTTTATCTGTTACTAATATCATTTAAGTAAAGATTTATTTATTAACATTTCTATAATTAAGTATATTAACATGTATATTCTTTTTTTCTTCCTCAAAAATTTTTTACATCTTTCTATTCGCCCAATAACTTTTTTTTCTCATTTTAGTTTGTTATATAACTTTAAATTTTTTTTTATCGTTTAATATTTTTCAAGTGACGAATTATCCTTTAAATGAGCATGTTAGTGACTACGTAAAACTTGTATATGTAGTTTTTATAAAATTATTTTGTTTGAAAAAAAATATAATATAAACTATGTTCTTTCCCTTTAGTTAAGCTTAGCATCCTTTTTCTTCTTAGCATTCCTTATTTGATGGTGAAATTAAGAGAAGATAACGAATTCAAGAAAAAAATAATTATTGATCTTCATTCTCTTGAATTAGGAAAACTTAAAAAAAAAAAACATTATTTAAACCTTAACTAAAGAGAAATGATACTGCCTCTAGCACATTAAATAATTTTAAAAAATACACGTGTCATACTATTAGTTCATTAACATGATTACCTAAAAATTACTTCATCACTTAAAAAATGTCAATAAAATGGCTCTCCTAATTTGAGAATGAAAATTTAATTCAATTGGTAGTATATTGTACCTCTCGCCTTCGGCCAAATGCTTATGCAATTAGTATAAAATGCACCTATTACCAGTTTCATATCCTTTTCTTTAGTGGCATGCATAGGAGGATGTCAAAACAGTAATCTTATTACTGTGTCCGGTTTTGTGGCATGTCAAAAATAGAGTGAGATAAAGTGTCTTGTCATAGACAGATAAAATAAACATATAAGTGAATCAATCTATTAATAATATCTTTTTTATAAATATATATATATATATATATATATATATATATATATATATATGAATAATTTTAACTTTTTATTTATTAATTAATATTTTTATTAAATAAATTAAAAAATTATTATATTTATATATTAAAATAATTCATTATAATTAATAATTTAAATTTAATTATTAATAGACCACTAAATTAGTTTACCCTATTCTTAACCAATCAAATTGATCAATTATACAAAATAAATCAAAACGGACTCATATACTCAAATCATTAACCTGTTCCATTATTTTAGATATTGTAAAATTTAATCCATTTTGTCATTCCTAATAGGAATTTATATTAGTGCTTGCAAAATACCATGTCACGTCATTGAATCAAAATCTGGAGGGAAAAAACAATTTATAAAGAAAGGAAGAAAAGTAAACAAGCTAATGCAGAGTGATCCCTACATGCATATTGGATGCATACCAACAAACTATTCGTGTCAACGATCAACTATGAAAATAGCTATTACATATCGCTGTTTGAGAAGCATTCACGAAAAAATTGAAGCAAAAAATTGGGATCTCAGGGCGACAACAGCTCTGCTCCACTGGTTCAGGGAGTCAAAAACCCTTTGAAATCAAAATCAAAGGAATACTGTGGAAGACTGAAATGCCAAAAATCATTTAAAATGTTTGATGAGAAGCTAGCTACCTTTCACGTATTTGCTCAAAGCAGTTTAGCTAAGGCAATTTATGTAATCCTGATGAGTGATAAAACTCTGGTATCTAAATGCTTAAGCTTTTACTTTTACATTATGAAGAAGCTAAGAACCCGATCAGAAGAGATCTTCTACACGAATGGATATAACAGTGGCTGCAACCCATTTTTCCACAGCCTAGCAAGTTGGCACATTCCCTACTGTTTGTGGAAGTTCAAGCCTGGGCAAAAGTTCTGAGGCAACATCGTCAAATGAGACAAGGTTAAGATGGTTTCTGTTTCCGTTCATAACATTTGACAGATATGTTATTTCCTGAGATACCACATTCTTTTCAAGTATGTTAATCCAAAATTCATCATCTTCGCCGAGGTTTGATGATCTTAATATTTGCACTACCTTCTCCAGGGTTGCTACATTCCTACCAGCACCGCATCCCATGGCTGTTGCAGCTCCCACTGCATTAGCAATTGCCAATGTATTAACCAGTGGCATATTATGTATAAAACCATAGGCAATAGCAGCTACAAAACTGTCTCCACATCCAACAGTATCAATAACATTCACCTGATAACATTTAGAATTCCAATTAGTTTATAACAAAAAAATTAAGGGTTGTCAAAGGAAAAAAAAAAGGTGTCAGACACAAGTTTATTAAATATTATTATTGCGAGAGAAGAATGTTTGAATAATCAAAGAAATAACAACATATACTTTGAGCATACCAAACACTTGAGCCTGATTATTCCTTCGATATTAGGACGTTAAAAATGCACGTTTGACTCATTAAGGGAAAAAGAAAAAAAAAAAAAAAACCTCCAGTTGAAGAAAAACAATGTTCAGGAGGGCATTTTGTTTTGAAATATGATAGTTCATAAAATGCGGTTATAGCCTTAGTTTTAAACCTTTTCATTAATTTGTGCTTAACTGAAATTTTCACCTTTAAGCTGAAAATACATATGAAACTCTGAATATCAAGGTGTGTCATAGCACTGTTAAGCAGAGTGGCAATAAATAAATAAATAAATAAAAATTTTGTTCCAAATTTGCAAGAATTTAAGAGGTAATGAAGATTAGAATGAGAAACCAATGCCTTGAATCCAGGTGCACAAGCTATACTCGATGCCGTAATTAGAATTGAACCCTGAGAACCCATCTTTACAATCACCCATTTTGTGCGGATCCCTCTTTTGAGAAACTCCTGCCCTGCTAGTATTGGATCTTCTATGCCAGTTAATGATTCAGCCTGTCATGCAAAACAATAAAATCAAAGATCTCATTAAAGTAAGTAGTTTGCAAAACTACATACAAATAGCAGAAATAAAAGCATTTTTAATTTGCATCACGTTATTGTTTTATGGGAATAAGAGAAAACCAATATCTTCCTCTACACGACTTGTGAGATTGCCAGGCCAAAATCACAACCTCCCACAGTCTTTTTGCTTAGGCAGGAAGTTTCACAACAAATGGACTAATAACAAAAGTAAACTAAAACTTGCTGCAGGATTTATATAATCTGATAAAGTCAAGCATATGAATTTCATAATATTTGGTAATGTCAGATTAACAGAGTAGAAACAACTTTGGAGTCAAGACCAGGCCAAAAGTTCAAAGTTTACTAAATTATGAAATGGCAGATCTGAGGTAATTTGAAAACAGATTGTAAACAATCTGTGGAGCTGCCATCCATGCTTAAAAAAAAACTTAGATACGACCTAAGGGAAAATCAAGTTATTTTCCATGTGCCGTGCATTTCTAGGGTAGGGAAAGATTCTGGAGGCAGGGAGATTTATAAGAAAACAGAAGTGACAGATTAGAACCAAGTTTGGGTGAAGGTTTAGAGTCATCATTTGATATATAAAAAAAAAATGTTTTAATTACTCATTTGGTCCTTACAAGTACAAAATGTATACCTTTTAGTCCATATAAACATCTCATTTTAGTCCCTATGTTACCATTTTTAATCCCTTTTAGTTCTTACCATAGTGACTATAAAGATTACAAATGATGTGGAGGGACTAAAAGGGATTAAAATATAACAAATGATATGTGTAGGACTAAAATGAGACATTTTTAAGTGCAGGAACAAAATGGTAAAATTTTGACTATTATATAACTATTTAAACTTAAAAAAATAATTGGAGAAAAAACATATTCCGTGAAAGCTGTAGGAACAAGGTACCCATGTGATGTGACCGAAAGGGCATTAATGGTTTGGTGAGTGTTGCAACATGAATGCAAACTAGATAAAGGTTTAGGGCTGCATATTGTACTTATCTCAACCTGAACCAACACTTCTATCATTTGTTTAATGGCTATCCTTTAAAGTCTGTGGTTGTCAACTAGATTGGTCCAGAAGCTGTGGGTCAGTCTTGACTCACCATCAAAGAATGTAGAAAAAATTTGTAGAGATAGGAAAAGTTAGCATGTAATGATTGGCAATCATTGAATCAGAAACAAAGGAAAATACAGTTTGAACTTCTACGTTGTCCCTAACTTTTCAAATATATTGAATTCTAAATGTGGTTCAAGTGAAACAAAGCCATTAAATAATAATACGACAGTCACCTTACCAAAACCAAGGTTTACAGTAGGGGAAAAGGGAGTGGCAACAGAGAATGGTGGGAGTTCTGGTGGGCAACCAGGAAAGGTTTGTTATCATTGATTAGTAGGTATGGGTTTGGACTGTAAAAACCTGCTAATCATTATGAATTAGGCTCAATTTTGTCCTCGACAGATGATAAACAAGGCCCATAAGACTCTGAAATCTGAACTACCGACTGACACAAAAGTAAAGAATTTCAGGATAACTTTCAATTCAAGATTATACTTTTCTTCATACTTCCAAATGTTTCAAATGATTTTTCCTTCCTAGGTTGAAAGAACAAGTGAAGCAAACTGAAAGTTGCAAAACTACACAACACTTTTAAATGTTCAGGATAGATTCAGTTTCTTGGACAAAATACTCTTTGATAAGGTGAAAGAGTCCATAAATATGCAACCAGATATATATATATATATATATATATATATATATATATATATATATATATATATATATATATATATATATATATATATATATATAGCATACAAAAAAAATTTGACAAATAACAAAATATGTCCATATTTGAGGAATGGTGGTGCACAAGGTTAAGAAGGTGCTAAAAAACACAAAATATAATTATGAAATCCTTAATACAAAAACTAGAAAATGAGAGATGGAGACAGATAAACATGGAGCTATAAAGCACCATACTTCAATTTGCTTCCTGTATCCGTATCCGATATGTATCATGTTAAATACTTCACTAATACGTATCAATGAAGAATCCAAACTTTTAAATCATTTATATTCCATAAATGTTTAAGAAACATAGATGTATCTATAAAATAGAAACATATAAATATTAATTTTCATAAATCAAAGAAATTAGGAAGTATTTTAAGAAATTAATGAGAATGATAGTTCTATTTAAATAACAGTAAATATTTTATAATGATAATTATTTATATTTTTTATTTCTACAATATCAAAGAAAAGTGATTTAAAATTTAGATTTGCATGATTATAGCTTTATAGTTATTATGTTTCATGAATTTTTTTCATATTGTATATACGAATCGTATCTAATATTCGTATTGTGTTCATGCATCATACACATGGAGTACTTGCTGTGCATCTATATGCAAATTGCAAAAAAGTAACATATAAAACAATGAAATATAAACAGAGAAATAGTACAACTAAGCCTTGAAGCAGACAACTATAGCAATCATAATACAAATCAATGATAAATACAATATGAGGATAGATTTAAAAGAAACCTCATCCGAAGTCAGAAGAAGAACGTCACTCATTCTCAGTAACTGGTTGAGAGCTCTTTGTTCATCCGGGGTCCCAGTGAAGAGTTCCTTTCCACGTGGTCCAGGATCAAAGAAGATTGATGTGCTAACTTCGACAGCATATTCCATTGCTGAGAGTATTGCATCAGGAGAGAGCTCGTCAAAGCCATATCCATTACAGAACAAGACCTTTGAATTTTCAATAGCTATTTTAACTTTGTTGGGCAATTTACTCAACCAGTGAAATGCAGGCTCCTTGCTAAAATCAGCCCGACTAATAGAGAACCCATGCTTGGTTAGGCCATTGTAAACAAAAAATATGAAAACAAATCATAGCCACCACGATAGCAACACAAATTAGAGTACAGATGATTTTTACCTGCAAAAACCATGTCTTTGTAGAGGATCAACCAGAACCCAACATAGAAGAGTATCATAAGAAGCACTACCACTACTAGAGCTATCGATGGTATTGTTATTATTGTCATTAGGAAGTATCCCAACCAAACCAATGCCCTCGTTGTGAAGCACATCTGACAGAAACTTCCCATAGATTTCATTACCCACATGACCAATTGATATGCAATTGAGTCCCAACCTTGCAGCTGCTATAGCCATATTGCAGTTCCCGCCAGCTTCCCAATATTTCTACATGAAAAGTCAGGATGCAATAAGGCAATACAATCATTTGCAGAAAATAAATACAAAAATGAGATAAAAGGTTATTCTCAAGATTCTCCAGAAGACTTAATTGTTCCGATAAATTTCACCAGAAACACTAACAGGATAAGAAAATAAGAAGGAAAAATGAGATAAGTTTCTCTTAAAGCTAAAAATTAGCTTATACATAAATTAACTTGTAGTTCTCATATTAGTATATTTATAAAGAAACTTAATTCATTTTTCTTTCGTATTTTCTTATGTATAAGTGTTCTAATAAAAATTTATCCAAACATATCTTTACAAAAGTACTTTCAGTTCTTTGAAAAAAGGATATCCCTCAATAGCAAGAGACTAGTTCTTTTTAAACCTAGAAATCACCAAAGTGGATTTTGCCTCTCCACCAAAGTCCTCTCCATTCACGAATCAAACCCTAGAAAACACGCGTAAGAAATTCCTTACACAAGTACTTACGCCACAAGATAAGTCTAAATAAGCTCTTCCAGGCAAGTTAAAAGTGTGATGTTCTTAGAGGGGTAAAAGATTGAAAATCCAAATTAAGATAACGAGATTGCAACCGTATGTGAGTGGAGAATGAACAAACAATAGTGGTAGAAAAGAAGACCATCTAACGCAACGACAACTAAACTTTTACATTTTCATTCACAGAACTGAAGTAGTTGAGGGACGATATTCCACACACCCCTCAAAAGTGCAGTGGCTCACAGATTTGGTTTAATCATAAGAAGCAGAATCACAATTAACAAACCATGACATGGTTTTGCCGAAACCCTTAATTAAGAAAACAGAAGAGAAGTGAGAGAAAGAAAACCTTGTCCGGGGGAGACATGGCCAAACGGTCCATGAAAGCTTTGCGTAGCACGGGGGAGGGAGGGGGAAGCTGCGGGACATTGAGGACGATGTCGACGCAGAGGTTGCTAAGAGTGGTGACGTCGACGTGTTTGGAATTTGGTCCTACGTTGGAATGAAGGGAGGGGCTAGGCACGGCGATTTCGAGGCTTTTGCAGGCGAATGTGCGGTTGAGAGGGAGAAGGGTGATGAAGTATGGACGTTTGGAAATGGAAGGGAAAGAGGAAGAGGGTCCATGGGGGATTGGGGAAGTGAGGGTTTTCGGAGGAACTGAGAGAGGCATTCAGCCACGTGTTAACCACCCACCAACACTGCAGGGAGAATCCACGAACCCACTGTGGATTCAAGAATGCAGTGACAGAGAAGATAGATTGTAGATAATGCAATGGACTCTGACTTTTCTTCACCCTCAGAACTAATGCTTTATATCGTAAACTACTCTCCTTTCATCATTTTGCAAGCCTAATTTTGCTATTTTTGTACCATTTGTATTATTATTTATTTATGTTGGTGTGGAAGGATAATTTTGTACAAATCCACACTAAAATAATGTAATCTGTTTCATTTATTTAAATAAGTAAATTAAACAAAAAATCGTATATGAGTAAATTATGTATCACTTCGTAAAAAAAAAAAATATATATATATATATATATATATATATATATATATATATATATATATATATATATAAAGACAACTTTAATTCAAGTCGTACACGTGATAATTTTAGCTCAATTTTTTTAATATGATTAACAATTTCAATTTAACTTTTTTTATATTGAAGCCATCCATTCATTAACGATTTTAAATCATTTTTTTTATATTGAAGTTGTCGATTCATTAATGAATTTAGTTTATATATTTATAAATTAATTTTTTTATTTTAAATATTTTAAACTTAATAAAATAAATAATTAATTATTATTTAGATATCTATAATATCAAATAATTTTTAAATATATTACATTATTAAAAAAAATTGGATATGTTTAATAACAAAAATACCATACATTATATACGAAAAGAAAATTTAATATTTCCATTGTCGAAATAGATAATTATTACATAAGACCTTTATTTTGATTATTTTAGTTTATTTAGAACATGTTTATCCATCTTATTATGAAAACAATAATAAGATGGTCTTCCTAATTATTATTGATGTAGATTTGGATTAGGAATAAATTTTGGACCTTAATAAGGAGACCAATCATCTTTGTTTCGAACAGGATGAAAATGCATCTCATAAGTCTTATAAATAGTTTATAATTTGTATATTGAGTCAATGTGTAAATAATAATATAAACATACAATAATTACATGAAAGCAAGGAAGTCGAAGACATTGAAACTCTCCACAATTTTACCACCAATCATTTAATTTTACTATATAGTTTACAGGACCGCCACGACGTTGAGAATTTAATACCTTTTGGACATAGAATCTTCTCGATTGTAGTTTTGAACAATACACTTCCTTGCACATCGTTCATTTTCTCTAAGCAATCTCTTTTACATAATGATGTCCTGCGCGTAATATGCACTCTATTTTGGTGCTCTATTCAACAAATCATGATTTAGTTTTTTTTTCAAATATAGATTTTGCAAGAGCACATATGGGTAAAGCTCGTGCTCCATTCAAAACTGAGTTTGTGCACTCAGCTAAATTTGTTGTCATGTGATCTGATGAATACATTTTATGAATAATTTTATTAATAAAATGTATTGCTCAAACTATACATTTTAACTAATTATTTGTTTATTTTTGCAGGAATGATAAATTAAAGAAATTATAAAAACTAATTCAATGGAATCTGCTGAGCAAAATCAGTCCAGAGAGCTTCATTTATGAAACTAAGCAATCCGCTAAGCGCGTGTAAATCCGTTGAGTGAAATATGTCAGATTTTATGTAACTAATTTAACTAAAAATATGTTCAGCGCATGAAGAATTCGTTGAGCGAATTCGTTGAATCTCATTTCTGCAGAATGTTAGTTTAAGCTCAACTATGTAATTATGGGTTGCGAGTGGGCGTTGATCATTTCGTATATCTTTGTTGTTGTATAAATAAGTCTTTGAAGGCCGAAAAACATAAGTTAAGTTTAAATTACAAATTAGTCTTCAAGTTCTCAAGTTAGCTTCCAAATCTGTTCATGGACCTTTTTGTACAAATGATGTTATAAAGTTTATCAATTCAAGTTGTCATTGATCATATTTGCTTTGTTTACTCTTTACATCTTCATCTTACTTTTGTTTTTATCTTTTTCATCTTCTTCCATTCCATTTCTTTATTGTTTTCATGTTATTTTTGGTTTTCCATTTATTCAGCATGTTCTAATTCACTTTTGTTGTTGATTCACCGATTAAAGCTTGATTTCTATGGTTTAGATTTGGTTCTTAACGATTCTAACCGATTATAATCCATTACAATCAATGTAATTGAGGTTGTTTGATTGAATGTCTCATTTACATTACAGTTCAACTTCTAGTTTTAAGTGATTACTTGTTTAAGGAATTGAGTTGTGATCACGAATTTCAATTGGATTGTAATTGTTTGGAACTATTGTAGATTTGTTTTTGTGATTGCAAGACAAATCTTAGAAATCAATGATAATCATAAAAACAAGTTTATGATTGAAGAATCAATATAATTACTTACTATAATCTTCCTTGTTTTTAATCAATCTCCAATTCAAATTTCATGTTGATTTTGCTTTTACCTTTAAAGAAGAATTTGCGACATAATTCTTGCCCCTTTATTATTGACCAAGTTCAATATATATACACACACACACAAAGTTTATTGATTTTGCTTTTACCTTTAAAGAAGAATTTGCGACATAATTCTTGCCCCTTTATTATTGACCAAGTTCAATATATATACACACACACACAAAGTTTATTATCCCTTAATCTAATCTTACATACTAGTTATTCCTAAATAGAATTTGTACAAACTGTCACAATTATAACATATATAATATTAGGGAAACTATTAAGGGATATCTTAATGTCCCCTCAAGTTGGACTATATGGATTACAAATGCCCAACTTGAAAAGACCACAATCAAATTGAGTCTTTCTTAAAGCTTTGGTGAAGATATTTTCTAGCTGAGCATGAGAAGACACATGACCTGTAGCACTAGTTCGTCACAAAAGTTCATCACGGATAAAGTAGCAGTCCACTTCAATATGTTTGGTACGCTCATGGGAATATGATTAACGGTAATATGGAGTGCAACTTGATTATCACAATAGAATTTTATAGGTCTATGATGATTAATACCAAAACATGATAAAAGTTCCTTCGATCAATTTCAACTCACAAATGGTAGTAACCATAGAACGATATTTTACTTCTGTGGAAGAACATGACACATTGTGTTGTTTTTTAGTTTTCCATGAGATGGGTGAATTACCAAGAAAAAGAATAAATCAATCGGTTAGAGATTTTCTAGTCAAAGGACAACTAGTCCAATTTGAGTCACACCAAGCATAGAGTTGTAAATTACAGTCAGCACTTAATAAAATTCTTTGTCCAGGATTAGCCTTCAAAAAATGCACAACACGTAGGGCAGCATCCCAATGTTCTTGTCGAGGATGTTGCATGAACTGTGCAAGTATATACACACAATAAGAAAGTTCAAGCCTAATAACAAACAAGTAAATTAATAGTCCCACCAACCTTCTATATTGTTCTGGATCTAGAAGAAAAGCACATTTGGCTAACGATAGGTGGTGTTGAGGATCCATGGGATATCCAACTAGCTTAGCTCCTAACAATCTCGTTTCATATATAATATCCAACGTGTATTTACGTTGACACAAGAAAATTCCAATAAAGTTACGAGTCACCTCAATGCCTAAATTTTTTCTTTTTCAAATTTCCAAAGTCTTTCATATGAAAACATGTACGCAAGTATGTTTTGAAGGCTTTGATGGCAACATCGTCCTTTCCTGATATCATGAGATCATCCACATAGACCAACACATGGAGTCGCAAGTTTTCACGTTATTGTGTAAAGAGTGAATGCTCAGAGGAGGATTGTGTAAATCCATAGTGTTTCAAAACATCAACAAATTTTGCAAATCAACATCAAGTTGTTCAACCCATATAATGACTTGTGAAGTCTACAAACTTTGCTTGAAGCTCCAGATCAAAAGGAAGTTTCATATACACCTCCTCTTCTAGGACTCAATGCAAAAAGACATTGTGAACATCCATTTGATGAAGGTCCCAACTTCTAGCAGCCGCAATAGCTAAAAATATACGCATAGTTACCATCTTTGCAACTAGAGTGAAGGTTTGAGTATAGTCAAGGCCTTCAACTTGGTTGTTTCCTAATATCACTAGACGAGCTTTAAACTGTTCAACTGAACCATCAAATTTATACTTGATTCGGTACATCCACTTGCACCCAATAGTTTTCTTTCCAGGTGGCAACGACTCTAACTTTCAGGTCCTATTATTCTCCAATGCTTGTATCTTAGTCTACTTGGCTTGCTATCATCATTCATCTTTCATGACTTTAGCAAATGACTTAGGTTCAGTACTTGCATCGACAGCTACCAAAAAATGTTTGTAACATATAGCGAACTTATCATAATTAACATAGTGTGTTATAGGATAAGGTGTACCTGAGGTGTGAGAGGTAGCAAGTGAAGTTGGAGTGGGGCCTATGTTGCAGACGTGGTGTCTGTCACAAAATCTCGCAACCGAGTGGATGGTATTTTAACTTGACGTCCACGACCCAAAGGCTGTTCGGAGTCCCTCCTTTTCAGTTGTATTTGTCACAATATCAAGAATGTCAATAAGCAAATGTGGAGAAATTACAATGTGTCCATTTTCATAATCAACCCGCACAATCTCTATCTTATCGGTGTTATCAACACTGTTCCAAGATGGAAAACTACATGATTTTGTGTCAGGCAGCTTATATGTTAAGTACTGTCTTTCAGCATAAGGAAATTCATTTTCAGAGAACATGACATCTCTAGATGTCAAGAACACATAAGTCATACACCCTCTCACCCTTTTTACCATATGGATATCCCAAGAAAACATACCATCAACTTTGACTTGCAAATTTGTCCCCTTTAGTGTCTTGATTATGAACATAACACAAGCACCCAAACATGTGTAGATGATTGAAAGATGGTGGTTTTCTATAAAGCATCTCATATGGTGTTTTTTAATTTAATATAATTGAGGGTGTGTGGTTGATCAAGTATTCTGCGATTACCACACATTTGCCCCAAAATTCAATGGGAAGATTAGCTTG